GTTTTCACTAGATGAAATAAATTCCCTTCTCTCTGACCTAGCTGAATCATGGACTAAATTTCTTTCATTCTTTCTTTTCCTCCCCTCTTGGGCTTTCTCACACCCTTCAGTTTTTCCTGTATAGACTTTATAGTGTGTATCTTGTAGTGTATCTATTTATAAAGAAATCTTGAAAACTATGACAGAATACTGACATTAGTAGCTAAAATTTTACATGCATCAAGAAGACTGGCAATAGAATAACAACTGTGTAAAGACAACCATGATTCAGTGTAAAGAGAAAAAGACTTAAGTAGAGACTGAAAACAGCAAAGTCCCAGTGAAAGAGAGCTAAGTGGTTATAATGCTGAGATTCCCGTGAGCTTACTTGGACTCCTTGCACACTTGTACCCTTGTAATAAACTGCCACCTCACAAATTATTGAACAGTTCTCTTTATACACACACCATCCTTCATCCTTAATGTCTAAAAAAAGCTTTATTCAAGTACTTGTTTACTACATCAGAAATATGTTGTAGGCAAAGCATAAACTTCTGAGGTGCCAGAGACTGTAACACTGGAGGAGAAAGCCCGGGCTTATATAGTACTCGTATCAGGAGAAGAGTAAATATTTTAAACAAAACCATACCCTTTAAATACCTTTTCTTGGTATTATCATATTTTTACAGTCTTTTTCATTCACTGTAGTCTTATAAACAATCACACCACTGTATCACATGGGGACATTAATGAAAAGACATTTCTTAGGGGCTGGGGATTTAGCTCAGCAGTTCTGTAACCCACCTCGAAAGCGCAAGGTCCTGAGTTCGATCTCCAGTACCAAAAAAAAAAAAGACAAGACATTTCTTGGAGAATGACTTCTGGAAAACAACTGCTGCTCTGGCTCCTCCTTCCTATGCTTCTGTGTTTGTAATCATAAAGCCAGAATATTATTGTTGCACCAGTTATTCATGTGAACAGACTCCAAAGAAAAAGGAGCTTAGAAAGTCCTTTTAAAGCCTACTGTTTTTACTAAAATGCCTTAGAAAACACTCAATTAACGAGAATTACCTTGCCTCCTTTCCATGATCAGCAATAACTCTGTCATCATGACCAAGATTTCTGGAAGAAATCCGACCCAGTTCCATTGCTATTTCCTCATTCAACGCTTCCAGTCCAAGTGTCTGAAAGCGGACACGATGACGAGAATAACCAGCAAGCTGTTCATCTGCACCAATACCTGTGAGAATTACCTATAAAAGTTTAAAGAAATCCATATAAAATATGAGCTACTATATAATAAAGAAAATAAAACTTAAACCTGAATTGTAACATTTTTGGAGAAAAACTGTAAGATCAGAACATAGTAAATTATGCCCATTTAAATAAAGCATATACACTATATTTATAATTTAAATGCAAATAAAATATGCTATATTCTTGGAACTTAAATGCTAACAGCTTGTAGGGTCAAAATTAGGTCTCAGAAGTTTTTCAGAGCAGAAATACTGGGCAATACCTTTGCACTGCTCTGATATGATTTCGTTCCATCCTGGGTTGCTAAGTAACCA